AATTTGTTTTGATGAACCGATTGGTATACGAACATGTTTTATTGGTTTATCAGGATAGGTTGGTTTTAAACTAAGGTGCTGCATATGACATGCATGCTATGACTATGAGTGATTTAGTTCATGGTTAAGTTTAAATTTCGGTACATGGTTGACTTGTAGGCATGGTTTATTTGCCAAAGTATAATTAAATACTAAAGGGGGCATGGCTGAATTGCCATAGACATGGTTGAATTGTCAGCATGGTTGATTTGCCACGGTATCAAAAATACTTAAGGAGGCATTGTTGACTTGCCCAGGAATAACTAAATCTATATGAATGACAATGAATTTTAAAGTCAATAATTCAGAGTTTCGTGAATTCCGAGGACGGAATTTCTTTTGTTAAGGGGGAAGAATTAATACCCCTAGTTTTAAAAGGGATATAATTAGAATTTTACTATTTATTTTATTGTTTTCATTTTTATTTTAGTATTATTAGGTGGTTATTGGCTAGGTGTTTTGGTGGTTTTCTCTTTTATGTGAAATTAAATTATATGTTGTGTGAATTAGAAGGTTTATTAATTAAATTTATTTGTTAATTGATTTTTGAGTGATTTATGTGTTTAATTGTATTTATATTTTTTGTAATTGAATTAAATTCATTTTTAATGAGTTAATTAGGTATAAATTATTAGTGTATTAAATTGTAAGGTGATTAGGGTTCTAGGCAGTTTTATCTCACGCCGACTAAGACTAAGACTTATTTAGGTTTCCATGATGGATTAGGATTGGACTTAGGGTTTTATTGGGTGCCTATATATATATATATATATATATATTGTTATAGGTTTTCAAAAGGGTTTAGAACCCTATACAAGTACAGTATAATATAGAGAAAACAGAGGGGAAAAATAGAGGAGGAATAATTAGGGTTTCAGCCAAGAACCAAGGCTGAACCAAGGAGGGAAAGAAGGGGTGTGATCATGGGTGGAACCTAGGGCAACAAAGGAGTGGACGACAGTCGAGAGGTCGTCGAAAAGTCGGGACATAAGATGGTTAAAAGTTTCAAACCAAAACTACAGAGGCAAGTTATATTCTCTCTCTCTCCCTTTGGCTTGTAATCTGTGCATTCTTAGATGTTCTCTAGGATCTTAAACAGATATTAAATAGATCATGCATGTTTTGTATAGGTTAAATTAACTATCTGTATGTTCTGAAATTTAACTGAAATTGTTTGCGCAAGTTTGGTTTCACCTGTTGATGTTTGAGCATGTTGAATCGGTAATGTTTTGATTGTTCTGTTAACGCAAATTGTGGTAAACAAAGGACTTACATGATAACTGGATGTAAGTTAAGACGCTTAGGGTTAGTTTTAATAAGGAACAAAGAAGGTGGAAGTGGCCAAAGAAGAAGAAGAAGGCCGTGGAAGTTGCAGAAGGGCAGCATGCTCTCAAAGGAGTGAGAGCTGGCTCCCCTTGTGGGAGTGCCGGCTCTGGACTAGGGAGAGCTGGCTCCCTCTTGTGGGGGAGCCTGCTCTATGGAAAAACTACACAGTATGTGTAGTTCTGTGATTTTTTTGAGGTTCAGGGGCTGTGGTGTGATTCTGAAAGTGTAATGGGCTTTTAAGCAATTTTAATTAATCTGTTATAGTCCCAGGATGGTTAGTCTATGCAATTAAACTTAACTAACTTTGGAAAATTTAATGGTTAAATTGCATGTTGTCCGTGGGAAGGAAGGATTTGACTGTGTGTTGCTGTTCTAGCAAGTAGTAGAGGTCGGTATAATTATACTTTAAAGGTAATTTGATATGATATACTCTGTTGGTTATCTAACTTGTAATATATCAGTAACTGGATTTTTAGTTATTTAATCACAGACAAACGGATAGGGAATGTTTAACTGCATGTTGTGATGCTAGCAAGTTAAAAGAATTTGTATGGTTATTCTTAAATATAATTTAATGTGATATGCTCTGTGGGTTTCCGGAATGATATTAAATCATTCTTTAACATAATTGACACTTTACTAATTACTAATGTTGTCAACTGCTGGACTGTGTTTTAAGTTAGTTGAAATTTAAGTTAAATAAATTAAGTTATCAACTTCATGGACGGATTTTAACTGGATGAACTATTAAACTTTGTCTCGTTAGTTACATGGATGGATTCTAGATTTTAACTTGATGAAACATTAAACTTTGTCTCGTTAATTACATGGACAGATTCTGGATTTTAACTTGATGAATTAGTAAACTTTGTCTTGTTTAATTTTATGGATGGATTCTGGATTTTTTTTAGTTTATGACTTTTTTAAATTTTGTGTTTATCAACTATATCGATACTGTGGACTTATTTGATGTACTGCTTATAATGTTGCATCATTAACGGATCATTTACATATATGCACCGGTATGGGACGGCGTCATACGGAGGGATGGATTAGGTCACAACGCTAATTCCTACCCATTCATACATATGGAATGGATTAACTAAAACAGTTAAATCCTACATGGTTTCATGTCCAGTTAACTAAAACAGTTGAACGACATACTGGATGGTTGTTTATATGTCTGTATTAGGAAGGATAGGGGTTTAACTAAAACGTTTAAATCCTGATTACATGTTGTGTCTTGAGTAATGAACTGTTGACCGGCACAACATTGTACTTGGAGGGAACTTTTATACATAAGTGGGATAGGGATTTAATTAAAACATTTAAATCCTAATTTTATGTTGTGTCATGGCAACGAACAGTTGAACGGCACTACATTGGTTTGGATGGGAATTTATACATATAAATTATGGTACCGCGATCTGAGCTTGAGACTCAGAGTCGACGGTTAGGGTACGTATATGCAGTAGGATGCAAAACTAGCTATGTTGGTTGAGGTATACCCTGTTAGGCTTAGGTAGTCATGCCCACTCAGGCGCATTACATGTTGCCTTCTATTCAGGTTGAGACCCTTAGCATAGTTTAGTGAGAGTCCTGTAGTGTGGATATATATTTATCTATTACGGACTATATAGATATGGTTGATACATCTAGGACGTATCTGCCTATCAGGTCTCTGTTTGGATTGTAGTTAGGATAGAACTTGTTCGTGGGCCTGACCCACTATTATTTTTTAGGTAACGGATGGTCCCAGGTCTTCAAACTGGTTCGTGCTGAGCAGATATGACTACTCATTCTACCGACGACATAGGAGGTTTCTTCATGGTTTAGCAGTGGACTTCTTTTCAGTTGTTCGTTTTCCAGTATTTGTTTTGATTAGGGGTCCACCAGATGGATTCCTGAGTTGTATTAGAATTGGAAAAGTTGGATGTATCAGATTAATATTTTATTTATAAAATTTTATTCAGTTTTGGATTATCATTCTAGTTTCTTTTTAGCAAATTTTTATATATTCCTGTTTCTTTAATTGTATTCTGTGTTCGTTTATTACTAATTGGTTTGATATCCTCAGGTAATCGGGCGTGGGCCTGGCCAACCCACATCCGAAAATTTGGGGGTATCACAGGAAATTTAAATTGTAACTTTGTGTGTGTGTGTAACATCAATTGAAACTAAGCATGGATGGCAAATAAGTATAGATTGTCTAACCAATTTTAATAAATAGCACAACCTATCAGATGAGACTAATATTCATTCAATTAAACCATAATTAATGCACACACAAATATCTAGAGATATACACTCTTTGCATTCAAAAGTATGGAACATCAAGAAACAAGAATGGATTGTTCACATACCTAAGAAATTAAAGTAATTACACTACAACTAGGCTAGAGACATGAAATTAAACTAATTAAACTAGAGATGTGATACAATCCATCAAGAAACAAGTATAAACCATCAAATAAATCATAAAAGTGTTCCATTAAGCACCATACATTAACCATCACTAGATTAACATCATCAATACACATAGACATGCATCGAATTCATTAAATCTAGAGATAAAAACATAAACATCAATTTTAGCATACTTAGACATATGACAAGAGTCAAATGATCAATTGAAAGCATTAATACATACAAATCAAGTAAAAATCACAAGATTTATATTTATTCATGGTCAAAACATCTATTACAACTAAAATCCCCAAAAGTACACAAAAGCTAGGTTTGAAAAGCAAGCCTAGGGGCTATCTTTAGCCCCGAGAGAAGGATTTAACTTGGAGGTTGGCATCATCATCTTCATCCTTCCTTTCTTCTTCAAAATCCTAATTCTAGAGAGAGAAACTATCTATTCTATATATTTTTTTTAATAATTATTTATATCTACTACAATGATGTTCAATAAATCAATTACACACTCTTTTAAGTAAGGACCAGGTTAGAATAATAGCCTCTGATTGGAGGAAATTCGCAGCTTTGCACGGTAGGTAGAAATCGGCGCACTCGGGAATTAGACAGCTCACTGCCAGCAGCATTTTCCATCTATCAAATATTTTTAATCGATCAAGCATTTGGCTTCGATCGATCGAAGCTGACGTGGCATCAAAAATACCTTCGGGCCTTATCCACTTTACTGAGCTAACACCGCCTTTATTTTGATTGATTGTAGACCACTTCTATCGATCGGGACTTCCCTTCAATCGATTGAAATTCCTTTGGTGCATTTTTCTTGGCTTCTTTCTAACTTTGCTCCTTAGCTCCAAAAATGGTCTAAATGGCTCTTGTTAGCCTATTTGAACATTATTCACCTGAAATAGGCAATAACACAAATAAGTATCTAAGATATGAAAGTAAGATAGATAAATGGACTAAAATACCTTAACTTAGGTGCTAAAATGCGTCACATTTGAGCACTCATCAGAGGGTAGAACAGAAACAAAAAATATAAAAGTTAAAGACAAAAGAATGAAATATGTATTAAGGTCCAAACAGAGTCCTTCTAACTTAAGAGGCTTGCAAACCTGCTCCCACCGAACAAGATGGTACTTAAACTCCTTCCCCCTACCACCCCAAAGGAAGTTACGTTGAATCATCTCAAGTCTCTTGACAACAGAAGAGGGAATCTAGAACAGAGAAAGGAAATATGTTGGGAGGCTGGACAGGACACTCTTCACCAGCGTAACTTTTCCTCCATTCAAAAGACATTGTTTTTTCCATCCAGCCAACCTTCTCTCGAAGCGCTCAATAACTGGGTCCCAACAACCCACCCTTCTTGAGGAGACCCCCAAGAGCAAACCCAGATAAGAAATAGGGAAGGAACCGGTCCTACATCCAAGAACAGCTGCCAGGGAATCCACCTCCTGAACCTCCCCCATAGGGACAAGCACATTCTTGCCCATGTTAATTCTCAAACCAGAAACAACCTGAAATCAAACCAGGACACATCTCAAGTATCTCAATTGGGACCCCTCTGCCTCACAAAAAACTAAAGTATCATCCGCGAACAGCAAGTGAGAAATCTCTAATTGATGAACTGCCTCAGGACCAATCTTGAAGCCCCGAAAAAGCCCTAAGGTAAAAGCCCTCCTCATCAGCCTGCTAAGAGCCCCCATAACAATAATGAACAAGAAAGGGGAGATGGGGTCCCCTTGCCTCAAACCACGAGAACTACCAAAAAAACCTCGAAGGGGATCCATGAACCAGTATCGAGAATCTGACAGACGAAATGCAAGTAACAATCCATTTCCTCCATCTCTCACTGAAACCCATCCTCTCAAGCAAATAAAACAAGAAATTCCAGCAAACATGATTATAGGCTTTCTCGATGTCCAGCTTATACAAAACTCCGGGAAAGCCGCTACGAAGCCTAAAATCCACACATTCACTGGCAATAAGAGCGGAATCCAGAATCTGTCTGCCCCTAATAAACGCATTTAGAGACTCTGAAATGACTCCATCCAAAACCCCCCTCAATCTTGAGGCTAAGACTTTGGCGATGAGCTTATACAAACACCTAATCAAACTGATAGGCCGAAAGTCCTTAATATCAGAAGCTCCCCCCTTCTTAGGAATCAAAGCAATAAAAGAAGCATTCGGCGACTTTTCGAACTTCCCAGTGGAATGAAACTCATGAAAAGTACCCATAATCTCCTGTCTGACCACCTCCCAGCTTTCCAAGAGGAAACTCATAGTGAAACCATCCAGGCTTGGAGCTTTATCACCATTACAACTCTTCAAAGCCGTCAGGACCTCTTCCTCCGTAAAAGCCCTCTCCAACCTATCCCTATCCTCCACTGAAATAGAGTCAAAATGAAGACCATAAGTCTTGGCCTTCAATGAAGAGGCTCGGTATAAAACCTCTGATAAAAAGAAACAATTCCCATTCGCACCTCCATATCAGAGATCAAAAGTGAACCATCCACCCGAATCTAACCAATATGATTGCCCCTCCTATGTGCATTGGCAGTTCGGTGAAAAAACTTAGTATTACGGTCACCTTCTTTAAGCCACAAAGCCCGAGATTTCTGCCGCCATGAGATCTGCTCCATCACCGCAATCTCAGCACATTCAGCCTGACAAGCTATTCTCCTAGACCGTTGAGACTCCTCAAAGCCTCCCACTGCATCCAATCTATCAAACTCTGCAATATCAACGAGGGCTTTATTTTTCCTCCACTCCAGATTCCCGACCTCCTTATTCCATATTTTAATTTTATCCTTCAGAATACGAAGCTTTCCTACAAGGATAAAACTCGAAGTACCCACCACCATGACCTCCTCCCCACCAAGTCCACACCAAACCCTGAAAATCCACCACTCTAAGCCACACATTTTCAAATTTGAACAAAGTGCGACGAGGGCTCAAACCTCCACAATCCAAAACCAATAGAATGTGATCTGACGTCACCCTAGCCAACGTAGCCTGAACTGCATCCGAAAACTGCTTATCCCACTCTCCGGAGATCAGGAATCTATCCAAGCGTGAAAAAGTAGGCATCTCCCTACCACAAGATCAAGTGAAAGCAGCTCCCTCCAAAGGGAGATCAATAAGCTGATGATCATTGATAAACTCTGAGAAAAGCCTCATAGCCGAAGTCCATGACCCACCTGTAGACCTCTCCAACGGGGATCTTACCATATTAAAGTCACCTACCACACACCAAGGAAGAGACCACATCTCCTGAACCGCACTAAGCCCCTCCCACAACACAGGCCTTTCATAGTCATCCACCGGCCCATAGACACTTGAAAAAGCGCAAGGGAAGCCATCATCTTCTAACACAAAGGCACAAAACAAAGAGAACAGCCCCCTACACACATCCACCTTATCCATCCATCTCCTATCCCACATCAGAAGAATACCTCTAGAAGTCCCAATTGAATCAAGCGCCTCCCACTCAACGAACCTACTACCCCAAAGGCTCTTAACAACTCTATTAATCATAGAATCAATCTTCGTTTCTTGGAGACACACCAAATGAACCCCCAATTTCCTTACAGCCATTTTCACCACCTTTCTCTTGCCCGGGTCATTGAGGCTATGGACATTCCAGGATAAAAGTCATAGCTTTATGGAAAAACAACAGTGCCCTCCACCCCCTACCCCTCCCTCCCTTCTTAACACCCCCCTTCACCTTCTCCCCCACAAGAGCCCCATCAAAATTCATATCACAGCAGAGATTACGCAGCTCCCTCTCCCCTTTCCAAGAGGGTTGAGTATTTTTCTTCCTCCTTCTAGAAAACTGAATCATCTCCCCTTCTTTCCCCTCCACCGTAGCCTAAAGAATAGCTAAAGCCTGCTCCCGATTACCTTTGTAAAATACACCCAGCAAATCACTTGTGGGCCCTATGTTGTTCAAAACCCAGTCCTTGCCAAGATCATCACACTCCTTCCTAACAAGGTCACTGGCCATCCCCTCCGGATAGACAACTGCCAAAGGGTCGACCAGCCCCAAATCCGAGAAGCTCTCCTCCTCCCACAGGACCATATCCAAGGACCGACACTGATCCTCCCAGCTCCCATCAGCCTCCCCTTTCTCTCCCTCCTCAATCACATCTGCACAGGTCACCACTATCCACCCCGCTATCATGAACCTTAGAAAAAGATACTGAATCTCACGAAGGCACATTAGTCAGGCGCCTATGTTTCTGTAGTTCCTTCACCAACAAAGAGGCTGATTCCTCATTGAGAACGATACGGATATCCTTTCCCACACAAACAGTCATCAAGTCTGGCACTCAAACTGACTGAGATGGCACCAATTCATCCCCCCTAGGAAGACACAAATCCAGTTGAGGCTTGACCATCCCCCCCCCCCCATGTCAAACCCAGACATAACCATCTGATGAGAAGAGGAGGAAAAATCCGAACAAGAATCCTCCAGCCCTTCGCTGACACGATCCGAACCCCCATCCACAAACAAACCGACCGTCCCATCCCTTTCTAACGGTCCAATAAACCCACACCCCAAATCAGCGGTATCCACAGTCTCATTGCCCACCTCAACCACTGGTGAGAGCCTCCGTGACAGACCAACAAAACCATACCCCACCTCCTTCCTCCTCAACCCACAAGGAGGAGGAGAGAGAAGAATGAGAAAAGGAGGAGTTACGAGAACAAGAAAGGGGGGACTTACCCAGTTCAGGAGAGTTGCGGGCAACCCATTTTTGCTTGTCCTTTCTAGTCCATCTTCTACCAGACTTATTAGACCAACTCGACACATCCTCCTTGAGGGAGTCACCGCTGCGAGTCTCGTCCTCACAAAGGGAGCTTGACTGGAGCAACCCAAATCTGTTACCAGATAGCAGATTCTAACAACACGCACCATGCCTGGACGTCTTCGATCTTAGACCAGGTCCCTTCATCGTATTCGAACTCACAAAGATCCAATTCTCCTTTTCCTCCTGAGACTAGTGTCTCACATCATCCTTCGGTTGTTTCGGAGCAACTAATTTGTGAGAACCACCTCTAAAAGCCATTTCAGAAGGTGGCTTGGGCTGCAGCCCATTAATAGAAATAGAGAGGCTTCTATTTGGGCCCCAGGCAACTTCTCTAGAACTAAAATGATTGGGCTTGGTAAGAGAAGACCGAGACGAAGAGAGAGGCTTGAGAATAGGCCTAACCTATCCAACCCTATTCATAGCCCGCGAACCTTCAAGTCCAGATCCAGAAGAAAATGAACACCCAACCGAATTGGGCCCAAAATGCCCAGCCCTACCATCAGCCTTCAAAGCATCCTTCCCTGGCCCACGTTGGTTAGGCCCTTTCCAAGTAAGCCCATTAAAAGAGGAATTCAAATTCTCGACCACCTCACGTGCCAAGGCATGTGTGCCCTTAGCTGGATTCCACTCACAACCGGGGGGGGGGGGGGAACCGTCCTCCAACCACGTGTCCCACTACCCAGGCGTCCCTTCCCGGCGCATGGAAATGCACTCGTCTCCAGCACGTGGAAATGCACTCGTCCTTGTCCCTGCTTCCGGCAGCTTTGTAGAGCCTTTCTATAAATCACCGATTCACGCCCACCACCGAAAATTGATTTGTGAGATGAACGAGCCCCTCTATCCGTCACCTCCAAAGGATTCAAAACCTCAGCTCTAGCACGAAACTTGGAGATTGGCTCAAGAGAAGGGGCGATTTCTTCTGTGAGAGAGATGCGAAAAGCTTGCTGACTGTCCTCCACGATAATAGACTCCGGGATCGCAACACTTTCATCCACACTGATGACGATCCTCTTCGTATCGCTCACCTCGAACGCCTCGACGTCCCTGAATCCACCACACAGGTCCCCTACAGCAACAAAAAGTTTTTGACACCAAAGGTGGAGAGGAAGACCAAAAACAATGATTCTTCGGCATTTAAACTTCTTTCTCAACCCAGAACACCCAACCTTGTAATACCAGTAGTCAATGAACAACTGAGCGTTACCCCATGTCTTCTTTCCGTAATCAAGAACCTTCACAGCCTCCATGACCGACGGGAAGCGAAATAGTAAAAGCCCATCAGGCAAAGTAGAAACCCTTACAGCAGCCGAAATCGACCAAACCCTCGTAGTCCAATCTTCAATGTTCTCGAGAGAACCCACCTCCCTATCAAATCTCACAACAAGACATGCCCTAAGCTTACGCTCGCAAGAAGACATGCTGCGATTATCCACTGAAAAGATGAAATCACCGGAGGAAGAGAAGCACTCCACTTCGCCCTTCAAATCCAGACGAGGAAGACTAGCAACCTCCAAAAAAGACGGCCTCTGACCATCGAGAGCTCTCATGAAATCAACACAAAAACCACCCCGAACCACCGCAAATACCGACACCAAAAGAAAAAGAGAAATGTGAAGGAAAATAACAGAGGATTTCACCAGAGTTTATGACTTCGGTGCCGAATCAGAGGATTTCCTGTTTTGTCTCTTCTGAGTGACTATTTTCCAATTGAAAAAATGCTCTTCAATGCAAGGAAGGGTTCAGAATTTTGTCTGCTCGTGTGGTGAACAATTACACTCCTCATGAAGATTTCCCATTGGTGGAAGAAACAAAGCACGCGAGTGAGGTCATGAAAAATGGATTAAAGACTTTAATACTTCTCTGCTATCCTCATAGAAATTTATTTAGGAGGAGAAAGAAATAACTTGAACATGAATTCTTACGGAATAAAAAATTGTCAACATAAAATTGAAAATAATTTGTAAAAATTATTAATCATGTTTAACTTGGTAAGCCATGAAATTAGTTGTGAAGAAAAGCGAAAGGAAAAATAAATTGGACTGGAAGACTTGAGGGTAGCATCATAATTGCAGGATTTCCACTGGCACCATCAGTTATATATAGATATATATTTAATTTTTTTTTTAAGGGTCACCATCAGTTAAATTAACCCTCATGAAAACTTCAGAAAATTTTCTGCTAATCATGACTAAAAGATGCCAAAAAATATATATAAACCTTGGCAAACAATTTTAATAGATGTAGCTTTTTGAAACCACAATCAATAATAGTCCATATAGTAGGGATGGAAAAGTTGATGGAATGAAAGAATGAGTGATGGAAGAGGCATCTCTAGCAAAGGGAATGTGCCCTTCCCACCTTTTGTTTGGTAGGAGCGAAGGAAAGAGGAGACTTTGAATATTACCAAATATTCTTCTCTCTTCCCTTCTGCCAATTTTTAGACAAAAGAAAATTGGTGGGTCTGGAGGGATGCCTCATTCATTCTCATCCTCCCATCTTTTCTCACTCTACCCAATAATGGAAGTATGCTCCCCTTTTCCCTACCTCTCACCTTCCTCATACCAGACATATTAGCATAAAAGAATCATACAAAGGAAAATGCATAAAATGCGACTAAGCAGCTTTTAAAACCATGATATAAAAGAAATTTCTAATTGTGGAAGCCATTCCCCACATCTAGAAATTTATAACTTGGTCTTAAGAAATATGGTACCCTACCTTCTCCTCCAAATTTCTTTCAATGAACAACACCAATTGCTTCATCTTCTCCAAGTATTGTACATTGTCATGCCTGCAAAATTGCTAAGCGTTGTGAGCAATTCATAAGCTAAACTTGAAGCATCACTTATTCATTAACATTAAAAGTTGTCACTGAAATAATTAAAAATATCACTTTTCCCATATACTCTTTGTTAACAACCATCTACTCCAAAAGCTTAAGCTATTAGAGAGGATGCAACTTAAATATATAAATCATTTAACACGCCCCCTCACGTGTGGCATTCTTTTGGTCCAACATGTGTTTTTTCAATTTTAAATTAGGGCGGCAGTGAGGTTTGAACTCGAGAACATTGGCTCTGATACCATGTTAATAACCATCTACTCCAAAA